CTCCGCTTTTGTCGCTTCATCCTAGGCGTTTCAAAAAACACTCCGAAATTGGGAATTTATAGTGAGTTGGGTAGATATCCTATCGATTTATTCATTAAAAAACAGTTAATAAAATATACAAACCACCTAAACAAAATTCAAAACCCCATTATTAAGGAAGCCTTCCTACTTAACAAGACTATAAAAAGTAAGTGGTATAGCGGGACTATTATTTGCATACTTGTTTTCATCTTCCAGTTGTGACTAAATAACTACAAATAGACCCAGGAAAGTATATATTTTTAGAATCGCCAGACTTCAAGCTTTTCACAAGTGTATTTTGCATGCCCGTATCTGCATTCTACGACGCGTTACTCAGCCAAAGGTGAAACATTACTTTTTCTGTAAAAAAAAATAATTACGCATTTATGCTGGCGATAAGAAGTATTTTTTTCACTTTTCCTAGTTGTTCAATAGTCTGGTAAATTGAATGTGTCTGGTCAGTTTTATTCAAGCAACGCGTTTTAAAAAATAGTGTGCTGAATTTCAATTACTGTTTTAGTCGCATTGCCCCCAACTCAACCCACAACTCGTTGGTAAATAATCGATGAAATAGTTTGTCTGGACACATTCAAGTTCCTCTCACTGTCACCTTAAAGCTGTGAAAATTTGGTGTTAATCCGACGACAATAAGTATGTTATTTTTTGTTAAAGACCTTGTATTTTGAAAAACATAAACTCCTAGAAAACGTCCATGAAGTAACAGCAAAGAATTTCAAGCTTGTTTATCGGCACAATCAATTTGTTTTCCCATCAAGGTCTGTTTTAACATGTGTAGGGACGTCCAAATGTGTAAGGCTATTGGAAACCCAAAAAAATAAAGGAATGGGATAGCTATAATTGGATAAATTCGGCATATGAAAACAACAAAATCAATGATTTTTTTTCAGTGGCTGTGTGACCTTGTGTCTGAAGCATTGATATTCAAATGACTAATCTGTGAAACAAACAGGGGTGGAGACAAACTACTCAAATGTTTGGAAACACTCATTGTGTGTCAGATAGCTACTGATAACACATCCTAACATTGCTTTGTCTTGAGTTTATCTTTGAAACTTATAGGCACACAGATTAAACCTGTGTTGTTGATTTTGGAAAACACTACTGAGGCTGCCTTGCTTCCCTTCAGAAAATCTACATTTCAACCAACTTACATGACATTCTATGTTATGTTGACTTTATCACATGAAAGTTTATAGTGCATTTCATCAATTACATGTAATAAATAAATGTGAAAATCGTAATTTTCAACACAAATAATAGGCTCGCTACCTTAACTCAGTACTGAAATCTACAAATACAACACTATCAGATATTGAGAATAATGAGCTAAAATTGTCACATATGTCACACGGATATATGATAAAATAAAAAATGTATTTATAAAGCATTGGATTAACTCAATTAATGATGATAACAGACAAAACACTAATACAAAAAACAAACTTGAGGACTTACAAAAAATTTAAAACAAACTTCATTTTGGAAAACTACTTAAATAAGCTAAAAAATAAAGAACTGAAAAGTACCCTAACTAAATTCAGACTGAGCAATCACAGTTTAGAAATTAAAAAAGGAAGACACAACAGAATCAAAAGTAGCGACAGAATCTGCAAATTGTGTAATAAAAATGATATTGAAGATGAACATCACTTCCTCATAATATGCCCAGTATATAGTAAAGAGAGGGTCGTTTTATACAATGAAGCTGAAAAGATTATTCCTGACTTTATAAATCTTACACCTGAAAATAAATTCATAAAAAATAATGTCAAATAATAACTTAGCAATTCCTCTGGCACAATATCTGAAATACAGCTTTGCTATTAGACAGCAGCACCTACTTAGTCATTAACTTTTTTTTTTTTTTTAAACCTATTCATTGAGTTTTTGTTTTTATATTCAGTTTATAGTTTTTTGTTGGTGTTTCATTTTACTTTATTATATATTTCTGTTACTAACTTTAATTTAGTCTGTTTTTGGTTGTCTTTAAACTATTAGCCATTGTAATTTGATTAATTTTTTTCTGTAATTTTTGTTGTTGTAACCTTTAACCTCCTTCAGTAGGTTGTTATGAGTTAATAAAAATTGTTGATTACTGCTGAAGCTCCTGTAACCATGCAATGTTTACCAGTTCCACAGTATTATAGATCATGTTTTATTTGATACAGAAATTATTGGTAGTGAAGATACTCCTTACAAAGGTGGAATTTTCAAGTTAGAAATCCAAGTTCCTGAAAGGTCTCCAATTATATTTCTTTTATTCAACTAAAAGAAAAAAACAACACATTTTCATAAATGGTAATTGCACTGATTTAAAAAAAAAAAAAAAGCATCTGTATGTTTTCAGAATTACAAGAGATATGTAATTAAAAACTAGTGTGCATATTTCTGAATTTCTTCTTTGTAGGTATCCATTTGAGCCGCCCAAAGTTCGCTTTGTAACTCCAATCTATCATCCAAACATTGACAACGGCGGACGAATCTGTCTGGATATAATAAAAATGCCTCCGGGAGTGAGTAAGCTTATTCAAAATTCCAGTATATTTGAAACAAACGCTTTGATTTGTCATAAATTTGTAATATCAGTACATATTTAGTGGTTGTGTTATGTAGTTACTATCTCTACAATATTCTGTGTAGTAACTTTAAGAATGCCATAATTTGCACATATTTATGTATTTCTTCATAATTTCTTTGATAAATTTTGGATCAGATGAACATAACTTCCCATTAGCTACTTGATTAAAATTTTTGAAAAACATGGGGGAAAAAATTATAATTATTTGTTTTGGAAAAGGCGACAAACGATTAATATTTTATTTATTATGTCTTGCTTCTAATTGCACTTGCTTATACCCTACATTCAAATATCAATTGGTGAACCAATGTTTTTGCATGTGTGTCAGTTGAAATCTTCTTTTTTAAAAAAAAATTTCTGCCAGACAACATTTTTGGACATTAAAGACAATGCTGTCTCACCGTTTCTTGTCTCAACGTTCTCGTCTCATCGTTTTTTTTTGTTATGAGCACTAATTGGAAATGCACGTGTGTAAACCAGTCTCCTATAGTGTAATTGAAAAGCAAGGCAGACTGTACTCTTATTTATACTGTCAAGTGAATAGTCAGCTCCCAAAATCAAACCCAGAACCTTTCTGATGCAATGGTAGAATTCTTCTCTTACCGACAGGCAATAATATTGTCGAAAGGCATGTTACTGAATTATGTATTCCTTTATAATTTATAATTCTCTGCAAACTATTTCTCTGGTTTTATATCTTAGTCACCCCATATAATGGCTTGACCCTAAATTTATTTTGCTATACACCTGTTATAGGGTTCCTGGAAACCATCACTGAATATATCCACAGTGTTGAAATCAATACAGTTACTAATGGCTGACCCAAACCCTGACGATCCTCTCATGGCGGAAATTGTAAGTTATCCAGATAAATTATAGACTAGATTTGTATCACCATCTCAGTACATCACTATGGTAATCAGTTGTACTATTGATTCACCATTATTTGTTAATTATTAATTAAGATTTGTAAAGCATGCCTTAATTGATTGTATTCAAAACTGGAATATATTGTCAGCAATTGTGTACCATTTTGAATATAAACGAAAATGTCAATTTACTATTGACAGAACTAGCATAGACTAAACTGACCCCTAACCCCTTGAAATATAATGCCATTTTGTTGGTGACATGTTTTATGATACACATGTAATTCAACAAACTGAATATCATTTAGCAGTGTATACCATATTTTATTTTGTTAGATTTATTGATTTTTCTAATTTATTTATGTCTGTTGCAGTCAAATGAGTACAAATATAACCGACCTCAGTTCATCCAGAATGCCCAGCAGTGGACAAGACAACATGCCGTGATTGGTGTTCAAGCTAGCGGGAAATCTATGGAAAAGAACAAAGCGCACAAATCTAATGTCACAGAGAGTGAAAGTGAAAGTGATTCAGATGATAGTGATTCAGATGTAACTAAATTACTGAAGAGGAAATCACAGCCATGTAATTCTGTACAACCATTCAGCAAGCTATCCAGATCAGAGACTAAATAGTTTATATTTATTTTACTGATACATCGTGGGAGTTATTTGGTGTTTATCATTAGTTGTTATTATACTGCTCTGCTGCCATATATCATTGGCCAATCAATACTTCTAGTCACTCGTGTACATTGCATTTAGCTACATCTAACCGAATACGATCAGTCCTCATTGATTAACAACCGAGCAGATGTCCTGCTTGAAAAGCCACTTTTTAGAAAGGCACATCGTACTCTAACCGCTACATCAAATTTTAATGAGACTGACAATATATGGGCAGAGCTCAAGGTCGATGTACGTACTTTGTCGCATTATCGAACCGGGACAAAATTGTTCATTTTTTCAAACATAATTGTGCATATAATCAATTTATTGTCATTTGCTTGAATTGTTATTATTGTTTTTTCGAGGACTTATCATGCGCATATTCTCTTAAAAGAGTTCTATGCGCATTACATAACGTAAAAGACTATCAATAAAAATCACAAGTACTATAGAAAAGAAAAACAAATTAAAACTAGTAAAATTGACTACAGTGATACGTTTTTAGTGCACTCTTAAATGATGAATGTGAGACTGAATGACGGATTGAGAAGGGTATGCAATTCCAAATGTTTCATTTGGTGCATCAAATTTGATGCCTTAAAAACCAAATTGTGTAGTCAATCATAAGTCTCTCCCAGTTGGAATTCAGTACATGGATATGATCAATAATGACTTTGTATGAATATTTGGCATTAAATTTAAAAATCCAACTGTCAATAGGCAAAGTAATGCAATCTTCTGGAACTAGGATTTAGATGAGAAAAATGGCATATTCTTTAATGATGGTATTTGAAACAAATTTAACAAAAGGTGTGCACTAGAAAATCAAGATCTGGAGAGTTAACTGTGTCAGAATTTGAGTTCTTTTTGCAAAATTAAATGATCCAATTTTTTGAGATATGGGACATTGTAATCTGGTCACCTTAATTCTTGACATGGAATGTCTCCCATTTCTACCTGATGGTAACTTAACACAATTCTGTGTGAACATTAGATACATCACAGTCCCTCTATAGAGGATAGAGGGACTGTGGATACATGTATCATAATTTACATGAACCAATTGTTTGGAAATTAAATAATTGTGTATATAATGTGTTAAATTCTTTTTTTGTATAATAAATATACTCGTACAGTCTTCTCTAATCAATCAATTTATGCCTATTCTCAGGGGGTGGAGCTACATCACCGTTCTATGTTCCTTGGCCATGTACTATTTATATCTATTGGCTCTGTGGAATGCTGGTGAAAACTGCTAAAGCCAAAAAAATTACACGAACCAAATTTTAAGGTAATCCTGAACACCCATAGTCCGGTTGCACTGTTGAGAAGTCTCAACTAGCCCAACGTACAGTTTTTGAAAGGCTTTTGTTTTTGCTTGATGTCTGCCACCCAGGAGACCAAGATTTGATAGCTGGTATATTTTATTAGACATGCACACTATTTTCCCTGAATTATTGGCAACCAATTCAATTGGTAAACCCATTTCCCTTGTTATTTTGGTGTGCAGCTATGTAGATTAATACAGGTGAATGATAGGAAATTTTATCCAAATCATTTGAGTTGAATTATATTTTTGTTAACATCTAAATATGCATAATTTTGAATAATTATGCCATTCCTGGTGCAAGTTTAAATTCTTAAAGTTGTAAATTGGAGATTATTCAGAGTAAACTGTTCCAAGGGAAAATTTTCTATTGAATTGTATGCTTGTTTGACCTGCCATCTTGTTTTAATCAATGTAGAAGTGATTGGTCACACGACAAAATCATTTCATGACAAGCACCAAATTCAGTCGACTGGCTAAGTCTTGGCAATATTATGGTTTTATATGATAAATTCTTTTAAAAATAAATTTGTGTTCCTATCAGGTACCAAATAGTCACTGCCTATCATGAATAATTAATACAATGAATACGCATTAGAATGGACATTTCAAATCCCCCGAAAAATTGGCATGACGAGGCCAGTCCACAAATTCAAAGCTACGGTATGTCATTTTTCTTTTTTGGCTTCAAATTCCATACAACTAGTGCTGATCGTAGCTCACTTCTTGTCCTACTACAAAATTGAAGGGCAGGTTATCAACCAAAAATAGCACATCAAATTTTACAGCTTTTCCTTTGCTAGTTTGATAATACTTGAAAGACCCCCTTGTTTACAAGAGTTACACTCGGATGTTGACAAGTTACATAGTTTGTTAGTAAACATCTCTTGATAACTCATGCAATCAATTTTCACGTTACACGAAGTACGGGCTAAGATTTAAGCTGATTTAGGCTTATCTAGCATATTTGCATTTCGGCTAGACCCAATTGCGTCGACGCACAGGGAGGGCCAGTCGTTAGAACGGGCTAAGGGAGCACCATCAGCCGGTGATCTTTGGCAAGCTGCTATTTACAAACGAAAAATGGATGACACGCGCGAGGTTCTATTTCTGCTGCTGACATGTTTCGTTCTAATTTTGAAGCGACGTGCACAGGAACACTAGAGAAGACAGACCCAACTTATTTGGATGCACAGAAACAGTATACAACGGCGTAACAGAATACCGAGTTTTATTAATGCATGTCGTAGACAGCGAACCAAATTTATTTTGTCTACGATTGGAGCTGCTGTACGCTCTACTACAGCGACCCAATCAGTGTGGAAGCGTGTACACTGAGCTCGGTTGCCATTTTGGGAACGCAACTATAGTTATACTTTATCATACATCAAACATTTTATTTTACAATTTTGTTTTTAATTTTAAACAAACAAATGCACAAACAAACATGGTAATTTTTATCTCATAATCTACAAGTGTTTGAGACTGAGAATACAACTAAGCTATTCTATATACTGCCTTGTGCATGAACTCCAAAGGTCACACATGCTGTTACATTCTAGGGGTACAAATCCATTATCAAATAGAATGTCACAATTACCCCCCCCCCCCCCCAGTGCAAGCAATTGTCAAAGTTAAAAAGCGGTTAACTATGGCAAAGAATAATGTATACAGATAATTAAAGAAATAGGGCAATCATATCACCACTAAGTACCAGGATGTGTGACCTTTAGAGATCATGCATAAGATCTGAAATTAAACAGAACTAATATATTACAAGTCATTTACTGAACTGTGACTAAACATTTGAAGGTTGAACCGTCCTTGAAAGTATACAATTTATCTTTTCAATGTGTACGTACTCAGTTCTTTACTAGACATAATTAGATTAGCGATTGTATGAATGAAACATCCTGAAATAAATATAAATGAATGTGTTCACAGTACTGACTGGCTACTCTTACAGCACATGGACAAACCCTTGTACACAAGAATTTATGGCAGAAATATTTCAACTTTTGTTTGTGTACAAACCTCTCATACATAATTTCATGTACATTGTACAGTAATATGTGTACATATATTTTTTTATAAGGCTATACTGTTTAACATTTGGCTGACCTTCACAAAACCTTAATTACAGTAACATTAGAAACAACATTCATTTCTCGTTATAATTTTCTATCATGAACAACAATACTAAATTGGTTCTTAACCCTCTTTCTGGGCAAATTGGTAATCCCTGTAAGAAATAAGTCGCCATCTTACAACAATGTTGCTATATACTAGTACAACCTTACACAAGATAATAGCAAATGGGTAATTGGGCATGAATCTATTTTTCACTAATAATGACATCTGATAATTTCAGGATTTTATGGCATTCCAGAAGACAAAATTTTGCTAAAGTCATTGACACTGCTACAAAATTTTGTGATTTTTCATGGACTTGCGAAATTAAAATTGTACAGTAGTTAATACACCAAGAGGCAATTAACACAATCAATGGAGATCCATTGAGGTATAAACAACTCCATTTCATCACAGTCTTGATTTGAATGTCACAAAGTATTCTCAGCTTGATAAATCCCAGATTGAGTCTTGTTTCCAGAATTAGTTCATTCTGAATGGAACTCTGCTGTATTCCCACTTCTGCCAAAACGAGAAAACCATGCACAATACGTATAAACCTGCTGCTATAAAACAGTTATTAGAAGCAGCCACATAAACTTCGTGAACACTTTCTTGGTTGTAATCATCTGCTTCGGGAAGTGGTAAATCCTCTAGAAATGCTACAGCATCAAAGCGTAGAAGAATTCCTACAATAACCTACGTGCAAAAAAAAAAAAAAAAAATGGTTACAAACACCTGTATGATGTTGATTTCAATGATTTATTGCATACTTTTATGAAATCAACATCATACATGATGTTGATTTCATAAAAGTATGCGATAAATCATTGCCCTTTCGTGAATACATTATACATGTTCATAATAGTTGGTACAACAGCATCTATTAATTACACAATGAATTAGAGTCACATGTGGTTCCCCATTCATGTTGCTGGTACTCGCACATAGTAGATATTCTGCAGGTATAATGTTAAATCATCACAGTCATAGCGTATGTAACTTTTAATACTAGATGTTTTGGCCAGTTTAGACCAAAATGCCACTGACCTATATCAATGTATTTTTAAATAGTCATAAAACTTTGCTTTTATAATGATTTTTATCATAAAGTTTATTATAGATTAGAAAGCATCAGATTACTGATTAGAATTTAGATGTATAAAGATGTATTAATGTTTGAATTACAAAATATATAATACAATAAAACGTAATGTTCACAATTGCGTACACTCCATTAGAAAAAAGTGAACAATATAGTTGTTACATTTTCCACCGAAGAAAATATAATTGAAACGAGCTAAATATAAATATAATAGTTATTAGTAATGTCACTGACAGTCTTCCCGATTGGTCAACCAGCATTATTACAAAATATACACTAGTTAAAGATGCTTACCAACAGTGTTATTCCCCATATGCTCGTGAGAAGACAACAGATTGATGCCCTAGGGCCACAAATACCTGGTACAAGAATCGGCATGGTTATTGGAAAATTAAACGCAAATTTGTTGACCAGTTTATCCAAAAAGCCACCATCTACCAGTAAGAAAAATGGCTTCCGATCATGAGTCATGTGATCATTTCCCATCATGCAATGAAGAGATGGTGACGTCATTACTTGTCGTCGGGCGTATTTGTTTTGGCGGACTCCATATTAAACTCCGTTCTGCTCAAATAACTGGATTGGCTATTCTAATGTGCATTGGGAATCAATCAAAACATAATCGTATCTGAAACGATCAAAATATTGTAACGATAACCCCAGGGCTCCCCAATCACGTGACCTTTAGGAAGATCCAAGATGGTGGACAGACTAGGTGAGTTTTGACGGCAGCGTTTTTATCCGAATAAATGGTGCATACACCCCCTTATCACAAGTTTTGGTAGCTTACCCTCCGTCTACGTTTAATTGTCGATATATATGTGATAATACATTTTAAGATGTTCAGCATTGCACATGCACACTTTGCGACCAATTCTATGTACTTTCTCATGCCTAGAGACTTTAATATCTTGGTATATCGATCAATCGAAACCGTATATATTGAGTGACGTCAGTTGTGTATAATAGTAGAAACGTATTTGTGCATTACGCGGAAGTTAGCATGGTTTCTATAAAGTATAAGGCTGTATAATTGAGATATTGTCGAAGATCTCTAATTCAGTGGCCTGTACGTATACGCGTGCTTGTTTACACACTTGAAATTTTTAGAGGATTTTTCGTAACTGCAGGCACTTCGGATCACCTTATTTGAAAAAAAAAAAAAATTTTGTATTAGTTTTTAGTAGTATAGTTTGTTACTTCCAGGCATCCCCTTTTGGAAAATAGTGTCAAGTGTTGCACCCTTACGTTTTCAATGTACCTTATGTTACATAATACCTTTTGTTATGATTACCGAATCGTACTAAAAATAGAACTGACGTAATTATAGAATGCAGTGCAGTGCTTGAATGGAAAAGATCAACTAGGGACAACATGTGCATGTGATAAACACATTTTAAACCCCAGCTGTGATTTGTTGTGAATCCCAATGAATTATTTCAACTCCACAACAGTTATAGATATGTCTATCACTATTTTAGTTTTTGTTTACTTATATGTGTCTGGTTCAAATAAACATCTTCATGAATAATTAATCACTTGACATAATGCCCAATGACATAATTTCAAAAAACCTTGATTCAGCATCTGTCACCTGACGAATTGATTTATAATCGTAAACTGAATTTGTTCAGTATAAACGTATGTGACTTAAAGTAGCTAGGGGGAAAAACAAGTAATAGTTTAATTTGTTTAATTGTGATTAGGTGCAGCTATGGCAATGTGATTGATTGTGTGTATGTTTCATGTTGTTATTTTCTCAGGGGATTAAATTATTACCATTCCTGTGAACCTTCTAAAAATATGGTGTTTTACAAGGAATTGGTCGCTCATTGTTTGTTCTTTCTATGAGCTTGATTTGATTCGCTGTTGTTTTGTAAGATTGAAATTAGGTAATTTGTGCATTGAAAGATTTTCAGTAGTTGTGATAGTCAAAAATTTGTTTCTGTAAATAAAACACCATAAAATGTTTCTTGTATTTGGCTGTGGATAAACAGATAATTAATCACCAAATGTATACCATTTCAACTGTACTACATGTATATACATAGAAGTTTCTAATCTACGAGATCTATTGTGAACAATTGGTAGACTGTTTCCTAGAAAAGGACAAAACTTAGTAATTTCACCATAAGTTGATGCTAACTTTAACAAAATGGCGTATTGCACAACTAATTTATCTAAATCCTTTTGTTATGGTAAACAGCTCCAACAGTACAATCGTTCTCTGAACATGGGGGCGGGTCGTCGTGACAGCATATGTTATGGGATGTACATGTCGTCCAGTATAGTTCAGTTTGCATTACTCACTGCCTATGGAGAGACTGTCATTATCTGATTTTTGAGATAACATAGAGACAAATCAATTAGCAATTTCTGTCTTCACCATTCTTTATTGTCATGCCTGGAAACGTAATATTAGTGTCAACATTGATAGACATATAACGTCAACGTTTGGACTCACTGTGCAGCCAAACCTATTTATTTATTTTATTTTATTTATTTGTTGCTACCCTTAAAAAGCAGGGGCTTACTTTTACAGGAGCTGCAAAATTAAAGATACATTTCTTAATATAAGTACAAGAAATACTATTCATTATGCAAGTACTGCCAGTGATGTCTTGCACAACACTGTCTATAGTCTGAGGTATAATACTGAAATGGCAGAAAAAAGTTTCAGTGAAGAACCCTGTCTACCCAGTAAAACACTCTTATTTCAACAACAACAAAAAATTAGAAAAGTATGAAATCACCAACACTTTAACCTGATATGAGGATGTATTTACCTGTTACACAAGCTGTCATTGCAATTTTTCCTTTCCAGGAAATTGCCATTTTTATAAACCTCTTGTTTCCCATTGTAATTACAGTTATAACAACATAGTCTTAAAAATAAGTTTGTGGGTTTTTTTATTTGATAATCCATCCAAACAGTTCTACCCATTTTGAGTTGTTATGTCTGATACATTTTTGTGTGTGGACATCATCAAGTATGAATAAATATGACACACCCATGTTCAACAAATCAGAATTTTTAAATACAAAACATAGCAAACATTAAATCTGTTCTGTTACAGCAAATTTGTTTTTGCAGCACTGGTTGCTCTTTTGAACGTCAATTTTTATTTTAACAATTTTTCACAATATTATCCTGCTTGATGTAGCCAATTGAAAATTATTTTTAAAATTAATGTAGAATTAATAGAATATGTGCAAAATATTATACCAAAATTGTGATGGGCAAAAATGTAGATTAAGAGTACTGTAATAGACAATTTGTGGGGTTTAAGTGTGCGGCATATGTTGTTTGATTATGTCAGTAATGTCGCAGACTTGTTCAAAGTTTCTGCATGACATTACCCAAATTTAGAGCAATTGCACATATTCCCAATTCACAGTACTATAAATTGAATGTTTACCTGAAAACACTTGGTGTTACATGTATATCAAATGGAGGAATATTTTAGTGGTTTTCTAACAACCAACTACAAACAAGGACATATTCAGACAAAAATACCATGTGACACAGAAACCAACAAATGGTCTATTGTATCACAGACCATAATTCAATCTGGTCATAATTTAAAGACATCACATAACCTACAGAAAGTTAAATTCAACATCAGTAACACATGTATTGCTTAATATAAAGTGTATGTTACAGAAGCATATTTCATTTTGCTACTTAAATCTGAACAATTCTGTGTTTCAGTGTGTGTGTATATATATATATATACTGTAAAAGATGTTGAAAAAGCGACATGCAATTTTAACGAATTGTGGTAAAATGGCGTAATAGCGAAATGTTGATTTAGCGAATCTCTCTTGTCATTGTTGATTTCCTGTTTTGACAATACTTTTCTGTCACGTGCCAAAAAAATATCGGCAGTTATCAACTCAATAAAAACAAAGAAAAACTGTCAAGTGTAATTAGGGAGGGCCCCAAATTTTTTTGTTCCAGATTACTGTATACAAATCTCCAAGCCTTGGCCATTTTGTATTTATAATAAAGTCATTAGTGACATCTTGAATTAACAAATCAGTTCTCTCGCTAAATTTGCTAAAAAGACATGCTCACGAAAAAGACAGTATTTACAGTACATATACATTGTATGTATGTGGAGGTATGTGTGTCTGTTGCATTGATTTCTAAATGAAACTTGGTAATTGCAATAATTTCATATACGAGAAAACTTGCTAGCAAATGTATTAAATTGTTAATACACAACCTCACAGGAAATCCAGGAAACAATTGGTTCAATAACACTCCACTTCAATCCTGCTCTGTATGGCAGCTGGTACTTTGCACAATCTAAATTACTAATATCGATATACATGTTGTATACCTATGAGAAGCAGTAGAATACAGTTTATTTATAATTTATTATCATATATTTTGTTATTTAATTTCTGAGAGAACCTGTGAAGAGATAATTTTAATTTCAGATGGTGTTCAGTGTCAACTTACAGCACTCAAATAACATGCATATTTGAGTGAAAGTGATACATTAAGTAATTACAGATGTGTATGTGTCAGTAAATATTAATGTGTTTGTGTCACAGCACTCGCCATTTCTTGAGTTGTGGTACCCTTTTATCATAGGTGCAGATACACATCTCATATCTCAAATTTATGCAATGTTTTAAAAATGAAATAATGCTTTATCATTATGCTCTGGATTTAATTTTTACATATTTTGGCCACTCTCTGGTATTGTTTCATACATGAAACTGTAACATTGAAAGTGTATCAGTGTTTTCTGAATTGCCCTCTATCATTGCTGATTACATATCTCTAAAGATTGGGAACACAACTGTAAATTATGCTATAAAAATAGAATTATGTAGTGGTGTGTACAATGTGATCTTTCACTTTGGCAGTTTGGGAATGCGGATAGCCTCACAACATGAAGACAAGGATGTGAAGCACTTACATTACAGGATGACCTAATCGTTTTTTTTTTTTGCTGTTAAAGTTGATGTAATAGCTTTGAGTATTCATTTAGCCCTTTGAACGCAATCTAAATTTGTGAATATGTCAGTGTGTTTGGGTCTCAGCAAACACTTGAGTGAACTTATATAAGTGACTATCGGTAGTACTGAGAAGATCATGTGCAATCATTTGATGGAATGTTTTATTTGCAGTGAACAGTGAGGCCAATGCACGAAGGGTGGCCAATGTAGAAGCCTGTTTTGGCAGCTCCGGACAGGTAAGCACATCATGCATGTGCTATTCATCATAACCAGCAACCTTGTTGTTTTAGAGTGTACAGTGTGGGTTATGTAAAGCTAAGAAAATTGGACTTTGAAGTGATTTCCCAGTAGTATCTACAATGTGGTAGTCGGAATAAACTGGTCTCATTCAGTTTGAGAGAAACACCTTAACCTTTTCTCCAGCAGTTCCCTGTTTTCATCACAAAATTGTCCCGTCCCGTTTATATTTTTTCCTTTAGAAGATGGGGACAATAAATTAACTAAAATATTGTCTGTCGGCTCCAAAATTAAGGTTCAATTCCAGAAATATTGAAAAATACAAGAAAAACGTGCAGACAAATTTGGGCGAGAAAGTCTGGTGGTGAAAAGGTTAAACACAACAATTAATTTTTGCATATTTTATTTGTTTTATCTCAGTCAAAGTAACATGCATTTTGATTCATGCTGGTGTAAAAATGCTAGTCAGAATAATTAGAAACCTATTACTACAGTAGCACAGTCTGAGCTCTTACAAGTGATTTGCCTTTTGAGAACCAGTGTTTTCAATAATTGTTTTTCATCATGACCCTGTGACACTGAAAGCTAAATGTAATTCACTGAATATAATCCTCTGAAAAATAATCTAACATAATGTTTACCATTTTATCCGTCTGAATCAAATGGCTTCATAAGTAATTAATAAAATGACCTACCCCGGTAATCATTCATAATTAATGCTGTAGCATTTGTCGAGACTGATGTAACTATTAAACACTGTTCTGCCCGTGAAACAGGACAAATACAGACAACAAGGATAGACTGGACTATTATGATTTGTCACACCTCATATGTGTTATAGAGTATTGCTAATTCCTTGTGTCGTATACTTTTATAAAATTCAAACCTTTGATCTTCACTCTCACCTGTCACAAAATAAACCCACATCATTTTTTTTCCTAATTTATTTCAAAGCCTGTAGCTAAAAAAAAAATGATGCTATTATGGTTTAAAAGTAATGAAGAAATTATTGACGGGAAAGATAAATATCTTCATAAACAGTATATAATTTATTGTTTATTTGACAGCCACTTATGGTTCCGGGAAGGGTGCTTGTCGGAGAAGGCGTGTTGACAAAACTATGTAGAAAGAAACCCAAACCACGTCAGTTCTTCCTTTGCAATGACATTCTCATTTATGGAAATATTGTAATTAATAAGAAAAAGGTGAGTTACCTGTCTTATTTTTTGTGTCACATTTTTGTGAAGCTGCTGTCTTCAATTGTAATTTATATGTATAAATAACAATATACAAATGTATGAGATAAGGGATGTAACTGATGTGTTCTCAACGCCAGTATTCTTCGCAGGTAATCCCTGATTTGCATAATAATATAAGGTTATTACGAAGATACCTCAAAGTATGCACGAAGACAGCACAGCAGCAGTATTGACCGACGCGCCATATAAGGAAATGCAAATTCCAAATATAGAATGATTACGCGCGTAAGCGTCCTCTAATAATAAAAACAAACATGGCTGCCACCAGGGTTTGACCGGACTCCACACAAAGAAGTTTGCTGATTCTGTTCTAAACTTTTTGGATTTTGGCATTCCCATGATGTATCCTTGGAAGGAAAAGATATATAATAATAATAATAAGGTTATTACGAGGATACCTAAAAGTATGCACTCAGACATCTACCGCCGCTGCAAGTTGGTTGATACTCCAGATATACTGTCTTTGTGCATACTTGTCGATATTCTCGTAATAACCTCATATTATTATTTGTCTTGTCAAACTTTCGTATGATTGAAATATGATGCAGCAGAGAATCCTATTGCCTGTACGTACACGTATACAAACACTTTTCTATTTACCACTTGTATACTGCATTGTGTTGATAACTATTTGTTGTATGATTTCAGTACAACAAGCAACATATTATACCCCTAGAGACTGTTAGACTGAAGTCATTGGAAGATAATGGAAGTAAGTAATCTACTTTTTGGGACATCTGCTTATGCAGACATTATGAAACAAAATTCGGGACGAAATTAAGTGTTGGCACCATGGAGCAGATCATTTGTAATTTGTGTCAAGGGTCAGTAGACTAGTTTCAGGTTTCCAGGTGATTACCGTAAAATTCCTTTTTGAGGCCGCATCTTTAATAGAAGCCGCACCCCTAACTTGAGACATTGTTTCATGTTGAAATTGACATGTTTTGATCCCAGGGAAAAGTCTGCAATATAAGCCGCACCCCAAACTTTCACAAACCAAACAGCCACCACATATTTCAGAAAAAAATATACCATTTAATTTTAAATTAAGGCATAATTTTTCGAACATTTCAATGATTCCTGTCGCTAAATTAGAGTCTAACTAAGGTTTTCCGTAGTCATTTACGCTTATTCC